ACAGATGGCTTATAAATGAACTGTTTCAAATGTCAATACAGTTGAAAGGACCTCTGTGATCATGGAATTCTGTGCTTCGGGCTTCACTGTTAACGGACTGATTGGTTTTTATTTATATTATTGAGGAATTGGTCACTTTGATGTGGGACTGACTACACGCTAGACATCCAACCTTTAAACATCTTGTAGGTAAGGCAGGAGGTGTGATCCTCAACCTGGTTCGGAATGCGGACGCATGTGGTCAAAACGTTGGATACAACGGCACCTAACAACCATTGCCGGAGTCAAATTGTCCATTGTGGGTGTAGACCCTAAGCCTTCGGCAGGACCAAGAAAAGGACAACTCGGCAGTCTGGGTTAATACCCCGCTGAGAAGGGAAGAGGGGATTAGCATGTCACGGAAGCATATGCTGAGAGCGTGAGTGCACCAAAGTATATGTAAAATTTAAAATTAGAAGGAACGTCCACACAAAAAACGCAGGTCGGTAAGATAAAGGGATCAAGCGAATCAAAGGGTTCAAAGCAACAGCATTAAACTACAATGTGATGAGATAAATTCAAGAAGTGTACTATGTATGACGAGATGGTAAGTCAGGATGCCATTTGTGAAAGATCATCAAATGGATATATGAGATTGGGGTACAGGTTTAGTTGTGGATAGGTGACATTACGTTTATCAAGTATTCACCAAGTGGGTCTGGTTCCATTTCTCGAGGTTTAAGACTCGGAAAGTGTACCGTGTGTGAGTAGACAATGGGATGCAATGTGAGCACAACCGCTGCATTAGAGTGTGTCACAGGTAGAGAGAAACTTAGAGGTGACCCGTGGGTGGGAAGCTTGGTCCGGTAAGGTGTTTCGGTTCTATAGTATAATAAGACAATTACCATGAGGTTTCCATTCCACTTCATGAGCTTTTAAAACTGAAGATGTGTACTATGTATGACAAGGTCAGGAGCTTTGCCTTTATCCTTTCGGGTTGGCCTGTGCCACGAAATTGGGCCATGTTATTCAAGCGAAAAGGGGATCAGAATATTCTCAAACGTGTAATAAAAGGTCACAATACTTGAGTACTCATCATAATGGTTTTCCCCTGATCGAGCATTGAAGCTGAATCCGTGAACTGAGAGGGAATTGTTTAAAAAGGTGAACACTGCTACGTGATTAGTATGCGCGACGAAATTGAGGCATATGTATCGGATGAAGACGAAAAGACAATACTTTTCAATATGGAATACCAAGACGCAATACTTATAGAGTTACTGATAGAAAATAGTTTAAAACGGTGGACACTGCTATCCGGTTTACATGTGCCATGAAATCGAGCCAGGTTAGTCAATTGAAAACGAGATTAGAATAATTTCCAAAACGGAATAAGAGGTCACAATGTCTATAAGAGGATGCACTTAAATGGTATGTCTTCCACAGATCAAGCTATAAAAGTCGATCAGTGTATTGATAAGATGTCGTAAATGTGAAAGTGTACACAGCAGTTTGGCTAGAAAATGTTACGTCATATTGGTAGGAGCAATAAAGATGTTTGATTTGTGGGATTGCCACAAAGGGGAATGGGTGACTATGCTCGAGAAAATGTTCACCGATAAGGCTTTATATTCCACTGGTTTAGTTTGGAGACTATATCAGTATCATGGGATCCCGGTTAGCGTGTACCAGGGAATGTGGATAGAATAAGCCTTAGAGGACAGTGAATTTAGAGTCAGTTGCAGTTTAATGGTGAGGAGGAGAGTCGTGTGTTTTTAGTCTCTGGGCTAATGATGTCCACGAATTTGTACGTCTAACAACGGATAAGGTAACGAACCAAATAAGAGCGACTGATATCACGGAACCCCAACCACGGTTGTATTGTAAAGAGCTAGAGAGTATAGATAGAAGTATACAGGTAAGTAAGCGTGCCGAAGGTAAAAGTCAACGTACCGTGACCAACGAGGTAATCTTGGTCCGTTAAAACGACAAAGTCTGGAAGATGGAAAAGGTACGTGAACGCATGTGGTTGACACTGTCACTACCGAGCTCCTTCCCTTGGAGGCTAGGAAGAGCCTTCGATAAATGTGCGTGTGGGTGCAGTCTGCTTGTCTTTTGAAAATCAAGTAGGTGAAGCAAATGTCTAATAGTCCGGTTGATATGAAGATATTTGGAACAGATTGATGTCTGCAGCCCGTCGAGGTTCCGCTACTCGACCCGTTTTTCAAAAGAAAACGGACGTGTTGAAAATGGGTCCATCACAGCTCAGGACGAGCCAGTAAGAAACTGACCGGGGCTGTCTGTACAATAGTCTTCGTTACCCGGAAGATGCTGGATCAGTAAGTAAATTGGGGGGTGGGGCAATTGAAGTTCTCCTGTTGATTATGTTCTCCCATGTGGTCGGTTCGTGTTCTCTTCCCCCCAGGTTATGTTTCTGCAACCAAAAGGAAAGTACTCTGAAGCAGCTCTTGTTGGAGCTGGTCAGTAACAGCGATCACAAATACCAAGAATGAATGAGAAAAAGGTTTTTTTGTTTTTTATGCAGAAAAGGGTTATGAGGCACAAGTTGAGTGTGAGGGATCAATTAAGATGGATGAAAGCTACTTGGGAGAGTGCTATAAGAACACTGAAAACGAACTGGTTTGCGGACTTCACGACCGCGGCGGTCGTGCTTCACCAGTATCCATGGTGGTGTTGAGGGGTGGTTCTCTGTAGGTCTGGTTGGCATGGGGTCTACCGACGGATGGTCTGCAGCTTCCGTAGGTGTGATAGAAGTAGTGTCAGTTTCTAAAAACGCCTGTTTTAGTCGGCCTAAGCTAATGGAATCCTTTTTGCCGTTAAGTTCTAATATATGGCATACTTGTCTTTACGCATGATAATCTTATGCGGATCGGCGTACGGTGTCTGTAGAAGTGTGCGGATGCTATCTATACGAAGAAAAACGTGCGTGCAACGCGTAAGACCTTTCGGTACGTAACCGGGTGCTGTTTGCTGGCGTGTACCTCACGCATGTGATTCGCGAGTCATTATTTAAAATCTGAGTAGTTGAGGCTACGTTGGGGCTTGGGTGAAATGAATTCACCGGGAAGACGTAACGTGAAGCCGAGGGCTAGTGCGGCCAGTGTAGTGTGCAAGTCGGCTTTTATCGTATCCCAAACTCCGAACAGGACAAGTGGAAGAGCCTCATGTTACAAGGATTCACAAATGGAGTCCGTTCAACTTCTTGAGCTCTGAGACTCTCGAAGTGTACTGTATATTTGACGAGATGAGATGAAATATGAACACGGTTCAGAGATCAATGTCCTCTCCATAAGCTGGGTATACACGGGGTGTTGCATTGGTTCAACTGTAACACAAAGCTAACAGTAAAGTGGTCCTTTAAGGCTTTGCCAAATTGTGCAATCGAAGGGCATTTTCTAATTTCAATAGGTAGTTTGTTCCACAATTTGGAGTGTTTTATATTGAAGAACTTTAATCTTGCTACTGATCTCACGTGAATGATCGTTAGTGTAAGATTCCTATGACGTAACGAGTAAGGTGAGTGTAGGGAAAACGTAGGAGTATTATTGGAAGAGAATACGCGGCAATGAAGGAACTTATACAGAAAGCATAAATTGAGACAAATGTGCCTGAGCCATGAAAGGTCTAATAGTAAAAGAATGTAACGTTCCATGTAGCTCAGAGTCGATGAGTAACCAATCAGTTTTTTGGTTGATGAGCGCTGGACGTTTTCAATTTGAATTCTCTCTGCTTTGGGGAGCCAGAGAAAATGATGAGACAGTACTCTAGATGCGACCTAGCATGTGGTACGTAGAAAATTAGTACGCTGTTCCTTAGTTTGCGGTATTTTGTAATCATAACAATTAACTGCCTTGCTTTAACAGTTTGGAATGAAACGTGTTCAGAAAACTTAATATTATTAAAGTAGTGGAGCCCGAGATCACGAACAGAAGTGCTGAGTTGAATAGATGCGTGATTTAAAATAAAGAATCCGAGTGGGACTAGTGTAGTGACCATCCATATCCCAACCTACATATACACTTCCTCTTGTGCATCTCATTGTTTTACCACACAAAAGCCACCTCTTTGGTCAGCACGTAATTTCTTTCACTTTCATCACGCTTTCGTATCTCTCTCTTACTTTGCAGGTCGTAGAAATACAGGCCGTCCTCCGTTTCATGAATCGCCTTGTACTGTTTTTGCACGAACGTACGTTTGTAGACCTGATCGACAATTTTATTTTGTTGAATGTTTAAATAAATTTTACATGGAAAATTTTCCTTTTAAATATAAAACTAACAATATAAATGTGCATGGGTCAACATTATATCTAATTCCCTCATTTTGTTTATGTTCAATCATTTTTGTGCGCTAAGTGTCACACCCTTCGTGGATGCGGTCATTTTTATCACAAATTGAATTAGGATCTTGTGTTGAGTATCTGCGAAACCGGAAATTGTTGGCAAAAAATCGTGATTAAGTCCGCGGTCACGCTATGAACCTGCAGGAATCGGCCGAGGCACTCGATGTATTTCTTTTTCCGCTGCTGTCGGATTCGTCAACCAGGCGACAGGAGTCTACACCAACAACGTGGAAGGCTACTGGAGCCGGATAAAGAGGAGACTGAAGTCAGNGTCTCACTTTTCGCCTTCTAAAATTGAAATGAACACTGAAACCTTTTTGCAGCATATCAGTGAGCGTTATCCCATCGATTATTGTGCCTATTGATATTTCACTCTTAATATTTTTCTTTATTACATTTTTATAAACGGTTCCGCTTCTTTTACTCATCGAAATGGAATATAGGCGAGATCATGGTACTTATAAAAAGTCAGTTTGTTATTGCGATTTTAGCCTAGAGTTTGACTGCAGATCAGGTCTACCCGTACGTTTGCGACCTAGACGTATTAGCTCGGGGTATCGCTTACTTTGTGCCTACAAATTAACGAGTCTTCATTTTATTTTATGTACGTTGGAAATTTTTTTCCTGAGACATGCTTATCAACTTCAGGAATATTTAAATGAATATACCTGCACACAACCCGTACGATGTGCTCAAAGAAACAATCCCTCGTCCTATAAAAGTTTCAGAAGAGAAGCGCATTCAGCTCCTTCTGTCTTGGATTCAATTGGGAAATCTTAGGCCGTCGCAGTTGTTGCGTCAAACGCGTGCGTTAGTTGACAACACCACGCTCGACGACTCCGTATCACGTCAGATTTGGCTTCAGTGGCTTCCGCCATACGTCCAGAGTATTCTGAACGTTTTCGCCCACGTCCATAGTCCAGAACAACTAGCTGAGTGTGCTGACAGAACCGTGGAGCAGGTCCAACGTTTTCAGTCCCCAATGGCGAACATTGAGAGCCCGAAGCCAAGCATCATTCAACAGACGCTCCCCAACCCTACTCCCGGTAAGCTGCTCTACAAGCCCACGACAGAAGTGCAGCTTTTGTCTCAGCAGTTGGCCGACCTTCGCTTAGCTATGGCCACTATGCAGACCATAATCAACAATCTGCAAACTACCCGCACGACCAGTAGTCGTTCCCGGTCAATTAACGGGCGCAGGCGAACCCCATCTCTGGCGGTCCGTGCTACTACCACAGACTTTTGGAAATCAAGCTAGAAAGTGCGAACCGCCCTGTTCGTTCAAAATCAGCAGGGAAAATAGTAGGCCGCCAGGTCACGGCGACAACCTCAACCGGCTCTCCCACCGCCTGTGGTCTCACTTTTATCTACGATAACTCGTCTTAGCTTAAGTTTATGGTAGATACCGGAGCACAAGTCACTGAACAGGATGCTGCCGACCCGGCAGCACCGACTTTGCAGGCAGCCAACGGTACGCCTATCCAAACCTATGAACAGCGGCTACTGAACTTAGACCTGGGTTTAAGACGCGTCTTACCTTTCATGGTCGCTTGGGTTCCTTACGCCATACTTGGCCTAGACCACCAGGGTCTAATCTTAGATTTCTGTGAGCGACAGATTGGAGACCCAGTCTTTTCTAGAACAGTGGTCGGTTCGCTGGTATATTCCCAAACGCAGAATATAAACCTCCCCTTCCACACGATGATTTGCCATATTAATCGTTATTCCGCGAGTTCCTTAGCCTCGTCCGCCCCAGCACCGAGCTGCCACCTATCACGACGGAGATGTCGCGCCACATTGTGACTCGAGGTCCAACGGTCCGCGCACGTCTCCGTCGACTAGCGACAGATAGGCTACTTAATGCACGCGCAGAGTTTCAGCACATGCTAAGCATTGGCATCATACGCCCCTTCCGAAAGTCCATGGATGACCCCTCTACTCACGGTCCCTCAGAAGTCGTTCAACGACTGGCGTCCATGTGGAGGCTATCGCGCACTAAACCGCGTGACAACCCCGGATAATTACCCGATCCCCCACCTCACGGATCTTACGTCAGACCTAGTCGGTAGAACTCTTTGTAGCCGCATCGATCTGGTTCGCGCATACAACCAGATACCGGTAGCAAAAGCTGATAGCTCCAAAGCAGCCGTAATCACACCGTTTGATCTATTCGAATTCCTCCGAATGCCTTTGGGTTTAGGCAACGCCTCGAATTCTTTCCAAACTTTCATTGACAACGTTTGCCGAGGTTAAGACTCAGGTTTTGTTTACTTGAACGACATCCTAGTGGCTAACTCATCGCGTGAGGAACATCTGACACACATCGGAGCACGTTTTGATCGTTTGGCCTAGCACGGTGTCACAGTCAACGCACATAAATGTGTGTTCGGTGCCTCCAACAATGATTTCCTCGGTTACCGCATCACAGCCACTAAGTGACAAAATCTAGGCGGTAATGGACTATCTGGAGCACACCACGTTTAAGCAACTCCGACGTTTCGACTGTTTAGTCAACTTTTGTTGTCGTTTCATCCTTCATTGTGCACAAGTTATGCGGCCGCAAACTGATCTACTAAGGGGTAAAGCAAAAACGTTAATGTTCACACGAGCCGTTCGAGACGCCTTCGATGCGTTGAAACGAGCAATCAGCAACGTCTCAAGATTAACCTATCTAGTCCCCTCCGCCGAACTGGTTTTTGTCACGGATGCGTCAGATCACGCAGTTGGCGCTGTCCTCCAACAACAAGTGAGACAGGAATGGCACCTAATAGCTTTCTTCCTCGAGAAGCTCTAACCCGCCGAGTCAAAGTACAGTGCCTTTGGTCGAGAATTCCTGGCGATCTACCTCGGTATTCGCCGCTTCCGCCATCTCCTTGAAGGACGAGACTTCACGGTTTTCATCGACCACCGTCCTATCACTCACGCCACCGACAGACAATCTCCACGAGAGTCACGACACCTTGATTACATCACACAATATACGTGCAATGTACAACATACCTCTGGTGTCAACAACCCTGTCACGGATACCCTCTCACGTATCCGTCACCTGGGTAACACTTACTCAGAAGCCATTGACTTATAGGACATAGCCACAGCGTCAATCGGCGACACCGACTGTTGAATCTGTT